GATTGTGCCGACTGATCACGAATCAATGTTTACTGCGCAACAGCCTACGAGGTCATGCGTGTATTATTTCATAAAAAACTAATTAAGGTTGTAAATTCCAACAGATTTTCAACTGGAACGGCCTAAGGAGTAGGAAAAGCCAGATGAAATCTTCTTATAGTTCTTTTAAGTTCTTAATATGCCTAATGCTGCTCATTATTATTTATAAGTTTTCGTAAATGCGTTCTCGCTGGTTTGGGAGAAATAATCAAATATTTCTAAACTTAAGCATGTTGCTTGCAGGACTCGCAATACTGTATGTGAATTTCTTCTCAATTTGTAGGCGAAAACGTTCATTTCCTTAAACAGGATGTACACAGTGCGCAGTTTTTAAACCATGTATTCGAGTGTAGCAGTCACTAGTCTAGAAATGTTTTCGGCATTGAGCAATTTTTTTAAAACCGAAAGCTACACTCTCTTTGAGTATAAAATTTAAAGATGGCGTAATTTCCTAACAAACAAGTGCAAAGGTGTTATGTTTTCCATAAAATATGTTTGAATTTATAAAGGCAGTCAAAAATCAATGATACATACGCATACTACCTAAGTTGTTACTTTCTGCAGTACGTACGTTTTGTATGGGTCAAAACGGAGCTCATTAAAAAGCTTACATCCTATCGTGATTGAAATTAATTCAGAATGGACAACATGATAACCAGTGTCACAACTTGAGTCAATGTCGATTAGCGAAAGAGTATCAATCTTTCGCATATGTCGATATCTTGCGTGATCTTTGGCGTCTACTGTATGTCGAAACGTTCAGGTCCATGGGCCTTCCCAGGGCAGAAAGAGGGGTCGAAAATCAGCTTTTTGGTCCCCCGACTCCTCGGGGTAGAAATAGGATGTTGGGAGAAACCGACCTTTCGTCCGAAGTATGGCGGCACAGAGGGGTGGTTGGAGGCTTTTGAGACGCCACATCGGATTGCGCGATTAAAAATAGTCAAAGAAAGATCCTGCACTTGGTGTCTGCTGTTAGTATTCCTTGAACCGAGACAAATGTTTTTAGGGTACGAGCAATCGATATCACGATCCAGCGCTGAGAACAAGCGAACATAACCCGAGCAAATAAACCACGATATAAAGAAATATGGTATCCACGCCGACCACTATGAAACAGAGGTAGTCGGTCAAATATCAGTTCATAATGCCGTAATTTACACAATTTGAAATGTTGCGTGTAACGATATATACCCGAACTTAAAAAATAGAGATACATATAAGTTCAGCAATGATACCCTTGTAAGCATTCGGTAAGTCAAATTAGATGAACGAACGTTTTCGATTAATTCATCTGGTCCTTGATTGTGTATAGAATCTGACCTCTTTGACCTTTTAACACCTCTCCCCGTGATTACTTCTGATTGATTGCTTAAACTATTGTTAGCTCTACCCTCCGTTTTAGTATTCAGTTAGCCTGAAGATAAATGTAATTTAATGGGATGCGTAACAAATAGAACTAGTATAGGAAGTGGATTAATTAAACAACGAAAAGGGCCTAACACGGATCCCCGTTTTAGGAACCTGCATCGATCGACAGTCAACTCCATTAGATACACAAGCGCATGGAGCCTTTCCAAAAATACGTTTACTTTACTACTCATAGATTGTTGAAAACGTTTGCTTAGCATGCAGGTGAGCGCTTTAAAATATTATGTTCACCAGATGCAATCGAAAGACGCTTGTCAGTTGATAAGCACGTGAAAAAAGGCAAATTTGCCTGCTATAAACCAACATGAAACCCAGTATAAAATGCCTTAACTGCATAAGAAACAGTTAATTTTTTTTTTCGTTTTTTTGTGCATTCCTAGTAAAGTGTCAGCACAGAACAGGTGCTACACGAATCCACTTTTTTATATTCCATGTACTACCTCCGGCTTATTATACATTCAAGAAACATATATATCAAGCTATATTAAACGACTTTGATTCCGACACGTCTCAATTAGGTAATAAACAAGACTCTGCGTTTATGTCAGGTAATTGGAAATACTGAATACTTCTATGCAGCAAACCGCATCAGTCGACCGCTTGACATTGCCATATACCAGCGGGCGCAGGCAGATATTGTCCAATGGCAGTTCTACGGTGCATAATAAAGACAATGTAAGTTCAAAAGGTGTTCAGGAAGGGAAAATAACTCATTAAGACTCATGCCTTTTCTGCAAGCAGCAGAAGGTTCTAATTGAATAAAATGAAATATTTCATTGCAACTTTACAAAGAGGGAATTTGCGGCACATTCACCGGACTTCAGCCAGCGCAATCCAAGTTCAATTCTGTGTCTGCCGTTCGTTAGAACGTATGCTCGTGGACGACGCTTATTGATGTGTATACAGGACAATGCAAATTCTGAACAGTCAAGATCCTTATACACAGTTAGTTTAGACAAGTTTGTGACTAGTCTGCCAGTTTTAGGGACGCATATGTCATTGGGTAAGCCATAAACCATTTCCGAATATCGTTCAAAATTACGGATAGATCGAAAGAGCGTCCCGTCCAGTGGCCTGTAATCGGAATTAAACACATCTTCCACTGCGAACTTCGTTTTTACGGTTAAGACACTCAATGTATTTTTTTCATGCTTAAACATCCAATACAAATCGACATAGAAAAGACACGGTGCGTAGGCTTCTCTCGTAGTATCCCTTGTTGGACAAACTACGTAGCTGTTATCTTTTTCAATGCACCGTTTGTAACGCTTTCGCCAGCCTGGATCATTGCCACACATAAGGCCAAACTTTGGCATCCCCCAGCAGGATCGGCTGTCAATTAAGCGCATCTCGGTAGACGCGTTTGCTGAAAGCTTGGCAAAAATGCGAACTGCTCTTTCACTATCCCATGCATTCACAAGGAAGTCATAGTCAATGTCGTAAAACATCCTCTGATGATATCGTAACGATCCCAGCATTGAACCAAATACCATTATGAATGGAACGTTATGTTCTTCAAATGAGTTTCTCAGCAGACGCAAAGAGTCTCTGAGTTTAATGCTATCTTGAGCATTTGGATCCTTGTCTACGAAACAGCCAGCCGCAACGTCATTGATCAAGGATTCGGAAAGTCTGCGAGGATGAACTCTACGTTTCCAGTAAGTGAAAGTGTGGTTATCCTGGCTGTCAGAAAGACATAAAGCTTTCGGCACAGTTAGGTGAAAGGGTTCATCAAATGTTCGGAGGTAAGCCACAAGTTCTCCTGTTGTTTCGTTAAACTTTGCGTCCTCCAGTGGACTTAATTTGCTGTCCCGCGTAATGTTGCTGTAAAATGGCAAAATCCTCTTCAGCAACCTTTCTATGTCATCATCAGTATTATCAGGGATTATGTTATCTTTCAACGGCTGAACTTTCGCATGCCTAGTAAACCACAGAGTGACAAATACCATCAGAAAAATGCATGCGATATACCGGCAACGCATTGGTGTCCATAAAGTCTGCGAGAAATATCCGAGTACGAGGGATGAAGGTTGCACCGCTTTGATGAGCGCCAGAGTGTAGTATTTATACTCACGAAAAACCAATGATAATAATTGGTTTGCCTTGGCTCGGCACTGCGTCCTGATGTGTGCGTTTTTGTGCGTCAGACCTGAGAGACTGATGTTAAAATAACATTTCACACTCAAATGGTTTTACAGAAAAATGCGCGGGCCTTTTCAGACTTTCGAAAAGTGTAATTAATTGATTAAATTTCCACATAAGTAATTCTTCTCTTTGTTTTTTTGTATTTGCTGCTTTCTCAGTGGCGGCAAACAGCAATTTAGTCATTTGCTGTCTCATCTGGATTCGTAGTTTCGAGTGAAATGTTAGCTGTCTTGGTTGAAATACGCCAACGTTAAGAGAGTTTTTACCTAATAGTACCTGTGTGCCACTTCTGTCATGTATTTATGTAGGCCATCGGCTCCTTTCGTGATCATGTGGGTTTCAAGAAAGAGTTCGAGCGGACGTGGATTACCCCATTTGAACAAAATTGAGTGTTCTGCAAGCACGAAACGATATTTCAGTAATTCTACATAAATTAACTAGAGAAGAGACAATAAAAACCGCAGTTTATGTCCCAGCTGAATAGCGGTTTAATGTCATTTGCATATTAAATTTGAAAAAAAGTCAGAATTCTGGAATAAGAATAAGAGTTCATCTTCTACTCACCGGAATAAATTTGTAGATTTGCTTAACTTTCGGACAGCTGGACCGGCTGTAGTTTGTCGAAGGGAAGTTGCGGTCGTGTGTATTAGCCTTGAGCTGAGCGATTTTTCTCAGGTCGCTGTTTGGCCATGTGTGTAGATTTAGGTTTGGCGTTACGGCAGTTGGTGTTCTGTTTCATCTCCACAGTAGAGGGTGCTGGTAATCCAGTCCCCTCTTCCGGTGATTTCGTCACGGTGCCATCTTTGTCTGCAAGTCCTGACTTCA